TTGACATGATGTTTCTAATTTGAAATTTACGAGAATTAATTCATGTTTATATAATACTAGATTAAAATTATTAAAATTTAAATAGTTCCTTTCTTCATTATTTGGTTTTTTGCTGATTATGCTGAAGATTATAAGTTAATTTAAAATAAAATCCGACAGTCCGACTAAGCAGATTATGAAACCATGATCATTTCTGTCAAATCCAAAATATCTTTTAAGCGGTTCTAAGCGGTTGAACATTTTATTAAGAATGCCAAATAACGCTATGAATAATTTTAAAAATAAATAATTGAAATTTCGAGGAATCGTATCGATAATATAATTCTGTTTCTCATCGGTGGTGCTACTTATGAGGAATCACGGGCGGTGTACATGGGAAATCAACGTGGAAAAACTTCGTCTGGTCCATCGAATGCCATTCTTCTTTCTACTGCAATGCTTAATTCCACTAGGTGAACTTATCTCTATAATGTTTGAGTGCTGAAGTTCAGCTGTAATATCACTTTTGTTATTATTCTTTCTCTTTCAATAAAAATCAGGTGAATCCAGCATTAAGTTTTGTTCGTAACTTATAGCAATACAAGCTATGAAATTTGCTTGCTTTATATATCTTCATCTTAAGAACTTACACTTAACATATGGTCATCATTTGCTTATGTTATTCCTTCAGATCGTTGAGAAAACTTTTATGGGAAAATGTTTAAAACTTTTCACCAAATGCTTTCAGTTTTATTGAAGAACTTCTGGTAGCTGCAACAATCGGGTGAACGGCCTAATGTAGTGTAACAAAAACTGTGATTAAAATGATACTTATTGTAGCTGTTGATGTATAATGGATGATGTTCCAATTGTCTCATTCACCTATTTCAGTTGTTCTTGTATTTACTGCGAATTGAAATAAAGGTAATTCATGACTGTTTGCAATTTAAAAATTAAAACAAGGGAATTGTCCAGAATGAGTTATATGTAATAAATGGTTGAATACTTCTAGCATCTTAAATTGACACAACCTTTTAACTATGTCCAAACAAGTACCTCATCGAGTGGGACGAGGTGGTCGCCGTAATCTAGTCAGAGTGGCACAAACATGTCATCGGCTTTTAATGATATCGGTGGGATGTGGGTTTTGTTGTATCGTTGAGTCCGTTTTAAAGTGCTTGTATTATGGGCATGTTAAGATGTGGGTGGAGTAGGTCACCGGTTTTGCAAATTAGCTAACAGTCGAGGTTGTTGGGATTATCTTTGCAGCGCAATTATACTGTATTCATAGTTCTTAAGAAAAAGTTTTGGTTTCAAAACATTTAGTTGTTTGCTTACCTCTTTCAAAATGAATAAAAGCCTTTTTAATTTATCCCGTTTAAAATAGCCATTTTACTGCGAATATTGGAAGCGAGCCAATATCCAGTAGTGTTTTGGTTTTAATGGTAAGGTCAAGCGTTAATAACTCACCAATACATACTTCAGCAAGATTCCTTTAAGTGTAACTATTATAGTGTTTCAAGCTTCTATAAATGCTGCCAGATCCTGTACGGACGTTATGGTTAATAATCACGACTCTCTTCATTCAAATTATTGAAAATTTTATCGCTGATGGGATCGTTCGATTATTGGCAGCTTATATGTGACAATCGATCTTTGTAAACCAAGCGGTTAATACTTTTACTGTCTGTCTTTTCAGTTTAGACTCTTTAAACTCCCGGTGAATTTTAATTTAGACTTCGGTACAGAGGATCAGATCTCTTAGGAAGCAAAAACGAAGTAATTATTAGTCGAAACAGATTACCTCCGATTCAGTTTATCCATTTTACGATATGGAAAATAAAGTGCGGTAGCTTTATAGGATAGTAAATGGACTCTGGAGAAAGAAAAGCCGACAATTTCGTTGAACTTTCGTTGAGCCAGTAATTAGATGTGCGATGTTCTCGAAATCTTCCGGCTTGATCTTTTTTTTACTTCCTAAACTGAATGTTGTGAACCGCGTATGTATGAATGTTGATGCTGGCTGGATTAATTTGAAGCAATGGTTTACATCCCTTAACTATGAGTTTTGTTGTGGAGGCCTATTCGTTATAATATATAACATGCAATGACACCATTGGTGAGACATTTGTACCAATGGTGTAGCAATTCCATGATATGGAGAGAGAGGTATTTCGAAGTGGGATGAAATACTGTCGAGCTAACAAACGGCTTATAGCAACTGATCTGATCATTCAGTGATAAGTTATTATTGCTGTATTCTTCGGTAATAGGTCATAACCCGCTAAACAGTGAGATCATCCTTATGCGTATCTGATATCCGCAGTTGTAGTGGTTTACCGACTTCGGATGGAAGGTTTTTGAAGAATATTTGGGTTAATTTCAGATTGTAGTTTTGGAAATGTCAACTGCTTGCTCTTCTTGGACTTTTTTATGAATTAGGAGTGGCTACGGACTGTAACAAGGAATGGTAAATACTAAGGAAAGATCGTTCACTGATTTTGTTTTTTTTTGTCTTCTTCCGTTTACGTATTACATACCCTGTCTCTTTCAAGAGTTAACACGTTTACATGACGAATCCATCCCTTGAGTATACACCCCAGAATCTGATCAGTTTGAGATAGCCTCAGCATCCTTATGAGTTATTGTGCGGATGGTGGTCGTTTAATATCGAATGGCAGGCTGACTGGCTGATTTCTGTGTTTGTGTGTATATGTATGTATGTGTGTATGTGTATGTAGTATGTTTGTTTGTATATCTGGCATAAGGGGAAGAAGGGAGAGTGGTAAGAGTTGTACGGCATGTCACATAGTTAAAGAAAGGGTATGCGGCGCAGCTTCAAGACGCAGTCGTTCCGCCCTGATGTCTTCTATCTGGTGATCGCTTGCTCCTCTCCTATATGGCGAAGTCCGTCGTACCTCTCCCATTTGTCTCTCTCACAAGGAAAGTAGGTTAGGCGAACAGTAAGACAGAGAAGAACGAGACGGAGTCGAAAAGTCCGCCATGGCAGCTGATGTCCACGAACGAGGAGGTTGAAAGATCGAGTAGACAAGAGCCATGATGTCCATGAGGGGGAGGAACTGCCGTAGTTGCTTCAGTGGCCGATATTTACCATCAATTTAGAGGTGTGGCGGCTGGTGTGTGTGTGTGTGTCTGTGTCCGTAACTGTATCCGTGTCTGTGTAGTGATGACATAGAGGAAAGAGAAGTCGAGAATAGCATCTGTTCATGCTTCAACACGCTCAGCTCATCACTACACCCATCTTTCCACCCGTTCCCCGCTCATATAGATCTATTCCCGTTCACAGGTCGCCATCCTTAAATCAACCCCTCCCAACCCATCAGCCCCGTGTTAACTGTTGCACGTATTCGTATACTTGTATGATATGCCCTTGGTTGCTTTGTTGCAGGTTTTGTTCGGGTTACTACTCCGTACGGTTAATCTTTATGCAACTTGACTTCGTCAAATGGGAATAAATATGAAGCAAGTTCGAATCTGAAATCTTGCTTGTATATCGAACTTATAAGTCTCTTTGTGATTGTTATTCTTTTAACAGTAAATCATCCTATTATACTTACTGTTCCGACTTACAGTATTTGAAGATAGCGCAGGCCAAACATATTTCGTATGATAGTGCTTATGTTGACTGTAGTCCAATTGTTATTTTTTTGTATCTTCCATAATTGTAAGGTTACAGTATATCAATAAGGTTATATAATTTTACAACATATTATTAATATGACATGAGATGAAACGCCTTGAAGACATGAAATTGATCATTTTTCTTTACGTCGCTGATTTCGTTTAGAAAAGAACGCTAGCAGTATTGAGTTGCTCATAAATGCTGGGTACATAACACTTTATCCTTAAGACTGATAAACCATTTGGTAGGCTGTTTCACTTTCATTATTACCTGGTTGAACTATTTCTGTTCATTTTTGAAGTGATGAAATGGTAATTTGATAGTGGGCAGCAGTTTCTGCTTCATGAATTCAGAAAACGGTGTGTATGCATGCATTAATCGATTTATATTTGTTTGATAAAAAAGAAGCTAGTGATTTGAATACATATCGATTTTAACAAACAAATTTGTAGTTTGCTTTCGAAATCAAAAAATATATGTAGGAAGTGCGGATTGATCTTTCATTTAAATTTTCCTATTATTTGACTTGTTTTATCCTCCAAGAAGATTTGATTTTGTCAGCTATACCTATTTGTTAATATTAGTAAATTTCATGATTTTAAATGAGATAAACTATGTATTCTTTACATGAAGGCTTTTGTTTAATATAGTTGAATGGAAGTAGATGGAAAGTTAGGAATAAAATCGAATGAATTGCATGTGATTATATGATGGAATTGTTGCTTATCGGTTTTGCAATGTTCGATTTGCAGTTAGAAATATATTGGAAGCTCTAACAGTTTTACTTGCAGATTGGAAAAAGTCTATAATCCGGTGGTGGCGATCTCTGCTTAATTTTGCTCTATTATATTTGGTCATTGAAATTAATTGGTATCAGTATATAAACACCCATTGAACTCATACGTACTGTACGTACGTCATCCTTTTTTTTTTAGAGTGAGTTATTTGTTTCTATTATCTTTATGAATTTTTCCTACACCAACAATAAATAAATTTTAAAATAATTTAAAAATTAAAATGACTATAAAATCTACTAGAAGTTAGTTTTTTATTTGGAATTACTCTTCGACTTAGCAAATTTATGTTGAGTTTTAAGACAGAGTTTCTGATTTAAGGATTCCCGATACAATATGCAGCTGTGAGATAAAATCCGCGGTTTCAGGAATCCATACTCTAATACCCCTTCAAATCCTGGACTTTTAGAACTAATGTATTTCAGGTTTTTCATTTAGCGTAGTTCTTAAGGTAGCATATTTTTTTACTGCACTTCTTTAACTTAATTCGTATTCTAGGTTGTCAAGTTTCCCACAGTCACGATTCTTCCCTCTACGCATTCCGTTGTTTTTGATTCTATCTTGTTACATTTATATAATTCTGGATGTCTTCCGCGCGAGGCGCTGCGGGCGCCGTTAAACCTAAGCTCCACAACGTGAATAGTATCTACGCGGGCAAGAATCAAAACGCCGTCAAGGCGCCCGGTATGTATTTTACAGTTAATTTTGCGAACCTGGATATCAGTTAAGTAAAGAGGCAGTTGAAGTGCATTAATGTTTATTTTTTCTTTCACTTCATTTAAGATACTACAATGGTCCAAGAATTCGTAAAAAATTTGTGATATTTACGCATTTCGTTGTCAATTCGCGATTAGCGCATTTCAGGTGTGGGCAAGCATGGTGGACTTCAAAGTCTTGGTAAAACAACAGCGGTGGTACGTCGTATGCCACCACCAGCCACGTTACCTTCGCTGAGAGCAGAAAGTCAAGGACAAGATCCTAATATCGCACTTGTGCCACAGGGTGGCACTGGTTGGGCCAAAGGGGATACAGGCACAACAAATGGCCAAACAGCAGATTTTCATTCGGTATGAGGAAATTGCTCAAAGGCTTATTTTGCAAAAGCAATCAAAACTATAAGATTTCGATTCTTAATTATTGCTGCAGTCACTGAAGGATATGTCATATTTGCAGAAAGAGAATGCTGGTAAAGTTTGGTAAAGTCACCTCGCAAAATATGGTTCCAAGATTTTTTAGAATTAACTTCATAGAATATTGAAGGTTTTATAGGTAGTAAAGTCGTCAGTCAACTTGACGGGATCCACATCAACAACAACAGCCACATTAAGTACATTAAGCGGAATAAGCAGCGGCAGCGGACCGCATACAGCCGATTTACGACCAACATGGGCGAAACAACCGAATGTTGCAGAAGCGCAAGCAGCAGCACTGCAGAATGCAAATACAGTATCGGCCTCATCGAGGGATTTCCCATCACTTGCGGCTGCTACTGCAACCATTGCAAAACAGTCCAGCAATGCTTTAACCGAAAGTCTCAAGCCACAGAGTTCGTTTCCTATTTTTCTTTTTTCATGGATTAGTTTTGTTGCATATTTCACGGGTATAAAATTTTGTATTTCGTTTCTGCACTTTTTTTATGTCCCTGTATTTAATTTTTTATACATGTCATCACTGTTAGCTTGGTTTATTTTGAAAACTAATTTTTAATCTGCAAAAATTCTCCTTTAATGTACATCAGTTTTACAGTTTGAAGAGAGACAAAATCTAAATATGTTTGTTGTTCGAGAAAATAATTTAATGTCCGAGTGTGCACAAGTAAATTAGAGGTTTAGTACGTACCCAGTTCTAGAGTCTGGAAGTTGGCGTGCCGGAGGCAGTTCAGCAGTATCACGAAACGAAGGGGATGTACCACAGGTGACGCTACATTCGCACTCGGGACCATCTTATTTATCTGCTACTGTAACTGCACGTATTGCAGAAAGACAGGTATTTTTCACTGTATTGCTAATGTTATAAAATTTTTTTTGTATAAGTGGGAAACTTTATGCGAACAAAATTTTACTCTTGCAGTTGCCCTCTCGTTACTACGATACAACAGCAGTGCCACCACCACCACCTCCAAATGGTACATTCCAAGTGCCGAAACTTCAACCAGTTGTGTCTGTTTCCAGTTCAGGTCCTTTGGAAACATTAAACAGTCATTCATTACTAAAAGGTTGGCTGTTACAGTTCAGCTTTTTTAATCTGAAGATGTACTGTATATGCAAAGTGAGTTTAATTGGTCAGTAGTGAATATTAATGGGGCTTTGATTATAAAATTAAACTGAAAGGTATTTGATGTTTGAAATCTCAATCTTATTTTCCTGGTAATTCAAAACTTACGAACATGAATGGATGGTAGCTGTTTATATTTCATGTGTTACTTAGCTGTTAAAAAAATTTTCCCATTTGCGTTGCAGAAAACGTGCCAATACGAAAAACAAGTTGTCCATGCACAACAACTGTTCCTTTAACAACGCCTCAGTATCCAGCAAACATAGCAGTTCCACCTCCAAATTACTCTCGACCACCACCAAGTTATGTTCTAGCACAGGTATGATGCATATTTTCGTCTTTTTCAGAAATTAGTTTTGAGCCCCCAACAATTTGGAGAATATTCTGGATTAATTCTCTAATGAAATTTTTAAGTATATTCCATGATCAGCTATTGCAGCGTTAGTTAGGGATGTTTGTTATTTCTAACAGGAACATTAATTAACATTACTGCTATCTACCGTTATGCAATTCAGACGGATTCTGCACGAAGCGAGTCAAATTATGGTGCACACTTGCAGCCATCCGAAAACGGAACAGATGGAAAGCAAGTACAGCCGAAAAGTGGACTTGGCGAAGAAGGTTGCGGCAATCGAAGATATTTGGAAAAAGTGAAAGGTGTTCTGAATAATTATTTGGATTCAGTTATGTAACGAGTAACCTGTTTTTGCCAACCAGCTTTTCTATTGGATGAATTTAAGTAATTCTTCTCATAGAAGATTCTAGTATAGTATTTGACAGATTTTTCATGCGAAACCTATATGATTTCGTTCAAACTTTTTTAGACGGTGTTATGCTCGAAACTCAAATAACAGTATCAAGTGATATTCAGCCGAATTATGCTCGTAGGGTGATGTGTGATAATCGGTAAGTTTGTTCATTAGTGCTGAACATTGTTAATAAGTTTAACTTTCGGATTCTCGTTTTTAATTCTACTGTTTGCATCTAAGAATTTAATTTATGTGGATTTCATGTTGCTACTCGATTTCTAATGATAAAAGTTGAGACGGTTGCAGAGGTGTTGATTTCGACGGATTCACCTCTAGAGGTAACAACGAGTGGCAGAGTACTACATATGGTAGTAACGATGAAGAAACTCACAGATGGCTTCACACTATTAGCTGTTCTGGTCAGGAATCGCAGCAGTGTGCTCCAGAATTCTCACAGGTAAATTCTTAAAAGTTCAGTAGAAAATACTGTTAAAAGCAATGTTTAACAAAACACTTCACACAAAAAAATTTTTTTGGAATTCAACATATAAAAATTTATCTAAGAATGGTTATACTCGTGATCGCGACGAAGAGTTGGGTCGCAGGCAGAATATTGAACGTGAAGCGGCTATCGAACGTTCGCGCCAGAAAAGACGTATGGCTAGTCAAGTATGCCCACTGAAATATTATTTGTAGTAAGATAACATTGATTTGCTTAATTTTGATCTAGAACCGATACCTGTGTTTGCTTACAATGGGTTTTTTAGTAATGTTGTTGAATTCTGGAAAAAATTTTCACCATTCCTGGTTCTAAAAATTTTTTTAAGTTCAGTGTATTAAAATATAAGACGAAGCTGATCAGCTCAAACTACCTTACTCATCATCGTGGTTGTTGATGGATTAAAACCTGACAGTGGAGGATTTTTTTTTTTGAAGAATTCAACAATACCACCAAAAAACAATTATAATCAATAGTTTTAGATGTAAACTAACAGAGGTATGAGTTCTGCATCGGAATTAAATAAATCAGTCCCGAAATTGATATATTTATTTGTATTTCCTAGAAATTACTATTCTTAGAAATAAAATCTTTAGAGCTCAGCACCATCGGAAAGCGAAGGTGGTAGCGTACCGTCGGGTTATGGATCAGTTAGAGTGATGAATGCATATGAAAATGATTCATATCCTGAATGGGATCAATCTGTTCGTGGCAGCTTTGGATTACAAAAGGTTTTCTTATAACTCGAAATATAATCCGATTTGATGTAGTGGTGTCGTATAATTCAAATAAGGTGGTGCAGATAGCTATATCAATTTTATGAATTTCAGAATAATGATGATCCAGTAGATCGAGTTGGGGAATGCTGGGGTGTTGTGGGTGGATACGATGTATCTACTCGACGTGATGAGCAGGAAACATTACAGCGAATCGAATTTCGAATGCTGAAACGCCCGGAAAGTAAGGGAGATATCGCACAGCAATTATCCCAAATGGGTGTACAAGACAGTGACACACATGATGAAGATGAAGGTAAATGTTGTATGTGGTTACACAATTTTTCCAGAACTGGATGTAATGAACAGAATGAGAGATATTGCATTGTTTTACATTTCTAGATCTTTTGATTTTGGAAATTTCTAGGTATCTTCTTCTATAAAAGTGATTTGATACTTGGTGAATTGCAGAAAAAAAAAAGATAATATGTAAGATTATGTTAACAGTTATACCTTTTAGAATTACAACTAACAAAACTTTCGAGGCCAGCAGCAAAAGTCGTGAAAAGAATGGCTCCTGGAACTATTCTACCGATCGAAAGAGGAATTAATCAGTCCTCTGAAACAGCTAACCCACAAACACAACGCAAACCGACACAGCAACAAAAAAATATTGACAAGAGGAGTTGCGATTCACGTATTCAGGGACACCAGCAAAAGGTAATAAATTACATTCTGCTACTGTTGTGAGAAATGATATGGATTATCATGTACCAAATGCATGTGCGCGCTATGTTGGCAATAAGAAGCCAAGGCCAATTAGTTAATTTTTATATTACATGATGTCTATTTTCATTAAATTTTGATGTTATATTGTTTTCAGAAACTATTTTTTTGTAATGATAAATAAGGCATCGTAATCTATATTTAGGATGGGGTGCTGGGGGGGAGAGGGACAACTTTTTCTTTTGTTTTTAGGTTTTTGTCTGTCATTTGTGTTCTTCATCTAATCCTGCAAATAAGAAATGTATAATTCGCAGGCACTGTTTCATCATGAGATTGATGGCAATTCGTCGAATGAATGGGTGACTCAAAAACAAAAAACTTCGTAAGTTAATATGTAATAATGACTTTGACTTTAGGTGGATATTTTCTTAACATAAGTTTCTTAACATATGTTTGTTTTGTTTGTCATTAATGCTGTGGGATTTTGACATGTTCTTGCTTTGTCGATCAGGTTGGATAGTATGTCACAACAGTCACATACAACAACAAAAACACGGGAAGAAGGAGTCGAGGGTGCCATAAAAGCACAGTCAGTGTTAATTGCACCACCACCGGCAGATAACGTTTGGGAAAAACGAGCAGAGGAACGCGAAAGTGCTGAAAGAGAACGTGCGGCACAGCAGGATACCTTAAATCAAATGCGTTTACAGCAACAGTTCCCTGCAGTAAATGAACAATCAGGTGAGTTCTTCTAGACTGATGATGATAGGTGCTGGATGATTAAGACGATGATTATTGCACTTAATAATGCTGAACATTACTAAATACGGTACTTTAATGTAGGTGTAAGTGCAAACGAACCATTTGATGAAAATTTGTCGGTAGGACGCTCCGAAATCTCTTATTCAGGGAATGAGCAGCAAAATGGTCGAAAAACTGGTAATAGAAGTCGAAATCGAGATGCGCATAAGTGGGTGGAGAAGAAATACAACTACGGTCAGCAGCATGATGGATTTTGCGTTCCAGATCATTATGCAGCTGAAGAAGAGGAAGATGGAAATGTAGGGACAGATGGAAATGGTGGACTTTTCCACGGTCAGCGTGAATTTGTGAATTCTCGAGTTCATCGTTCCGGGCGCGGTTCATCATTAATAAATTCTCGTGGTAACAGAAGCTATGGTTGCGGTGGCTTCTTGGGAATACGTCGTGGTGGCAGTATGCCACATCAACATCTTGGTACTGGACAAGCACATCGAGTTCAAAATAGGTGTGAGCGAAATCAGCGCCGTGGGAAATGTCAAGAACCTCAGGTTAATTTTTTTTCTTTTTTTTTCTACTATTATCATTGTTCTTCTGATAGGAATGACTATAATAAACCATAGTGTAAAACACGATCCCAAAATGCACTGTTTTGAGTTCGGAGTTTTTCCTTAATAAGCCATCAGTATATTTCGAAGTTATCTTCTTCATAATTCATAGTCTTCATTCCTTCTTCAGAAGTTGGTTTCATGTTTTTCAGGAAGATAATTTCTCGAATATGGGCGAATTTCGTGTTGAGGATACTTATGTGAATGTACCATCCGTTAAAGAACCATTAACAGAAAAAAAAACAGAGGAAGATAAGGTTTTTAGTGCTGTAGGTGTACTGCCGGATCAGGAACGTCATATGCAGAATAGAAATATCACTCGTCAGAGTGGTTCTCATCGTAATGCACAGCAGTTATATGAGCCAAAGAAACGTCAAGAATATAGTCGCACTGGAAGAAGAGGTGAATTCGAATGTCTAGAATTTTTAATATAGATTGCCCTTCTGATTTTCTTATTTCATGGCGCTTTGGTTGACTTATTTCTAGGGGCAGTTTCATGAACTGTCATAAATAGATGTGAAAAACACAGAATAAGTTCGCTTTCTCAGAAATACGGATTGATTAGAAAAATTCACAAAAATCCAAACTGATTAATAAGTTAATGTTAAATTTTGCAGGTGCTCGCATCGGTTCAGCAAAAATTAATTCTCAGCGCACTAGTGATGTCCGAGCAACAGGTGCCTATCAAAATTCACCCGAAAAGGGAAAACGGAAAAAGGCTAATGAAGAGCATAAAGTGGTAGGTGATGGAAGTTCATCTCGAACTCATGGTGATGGGTCGTACAGACGGGGTGGGATTCGAGGAGCACACAACGTATGTTTCTTTGCTTTTCAAAAATAATTGAGATATTGTGTTGTAAATTTCTCTGTTCCACCCTATATAGCAGTGGATTCTGGGTTTGCATTGTAGTGTTTAATTTGTTTTTCTTAATCTCTTTGAAATAACGAATGGATTTCTTTGGTTTTAAGCTTTCTTTAAATCATTATTTTGTTTCGTTTAAACGTGAAAATATTCCGCTTTTATTAAGTAGCACTTTACGATTGTTGGTTTTCTATTATTATATAAGACTATTTTGACGTGAAAGTATTAAGATACAATTTACAGATGCGTCGACGTAGGCATTCTGGTGGCGTACGTCAAGATAGCGGTCATGGTAATGGTCAATCATGTTGTGGGGGTGCTGAGCGTGCACCTCAGTTAAAATCACCGGTTACTTCAGAAGGACATGAAGAATGGGAAACAGCTTCCGAAAGTAGCGATTTCGCAGACCGACAAAAGTAAAAGATTTTCTGTATTTGATGACCGGTAATTTGAATTAACGCGTTGTTTTCGCATTATGCGAAAGTTAAATTGTGAGAGGCAAGATTCCCTGTTAAAGTTTTCCGTCTTTTTTTTTCTCTAACCATCAGGTTACTACAGTCACATGAAAGTGAAAAGTGATTTTGCAGACAAGTACGGCGTCAGAATGCTCCATCGAAGTATAGTAACTCACGCAGAACTATTCGCTCCAGCAATGGTAAGGTATTTCTGTGAAAGTTTTACTCGTGTGTGATCCAACTTCAGCTTTATAATTTTCTGCTTTCTCTTCTTCCTTAGCAATAGTAAGCTGCGGTTGCTGGAGGAGAATTTATAAATCGTTTGCGTTGTATTCTTCGTATCTGATAGTTTCTCTACAGGACGTCGTGAAGGCGGTACCGGAGCTGTGCTCAATCGTAATACTAATAGTTCAAAAAACGTGAAACCCGCCAGCACTACGTCGCACGTGGCCACCCGCGGTGCCCAGTTAGCAAAGGAGGTGTCTTTCCAAGATGTTTACTTCAAGAGTATCATAAATATTTTGTAGCATTTTCAAGTTGATATTACCTAAGACTTTAAGCGTAATCTAATTTAAATAAAGCAGGAAACAGCGCCGATAACACAGGGTGAAGCAGCACGAAGATCTGATACCTGCAAAGACGGGCTGGCGGGAGTAGACATCAACAATGCAGGTGTAATCGTGATTGATGATCGTCCAGATGAACAAGTGGATGATGCTATGGAGAATAATGATGATTTCGAAGAAGTATTATCTAAGAAAAGTAGGAAACTGCGACAGCAACAAATCAATGAACAGTTAGAAGCAGTACGTTTTGCAGCTGGCACGTGAACCATGGTCTAGTTTAGCAATATAGACATGTCTCCCAGAGCTTTTTGTTAATTGGATGGAATAATTAAATATGTTTCATTTTGGCATAGTTTTTTTGAAATTTAATTCTTGTATTTTTAGCATTTTTGGAGACAGATTTTTATAATTGGTGTAATAACAAGATTGGATAGAACAGTAAGAAACTGCTGTATCATAATTTATATAGAATTTAATGCTAGGAATTAGTTTTTTGGTTATTTTTTCAGTTTTGTTATAGGAAGAACGTCGAAAAATTAAGGAAAAGGAGAAAATGGAGCGACGGAAAGCGCGAGTGCAAGCAAAGCGAATAGGAAAAAAATCATCAACAAAGAATGATCGTATTGGTCCAAACGGTGCTAATTTAGTTAATGAGGTTGCTACGAAAGCGAATACCATGAATACAAGTAATAATGGAGTGAGAGATGCTGGTAGTGGTGTGAGTCGTCCAATTTTAACAAATGCACAGAATACCCTCAACACTACTGTTTGGAACAGCTCGATTGTTCGTGAACAATCAACAGACCCATCACCACCAGTTGAAAAGTATGTATTGCGTATAAAGTTTCTTATTGTTTAACTTTCTAGAGACAAAAGTTTTTCACTTTCATAGTTTCCTTAGAAACCGTAGGAATAAGAATTTCTGATTCAAAATTTAAAATTGAACAATCATAAAGTATGTCCTGCTTGAACTGCCACTTTTTAAAACTCATGTATATATCTCTCTCGTTTTAGTCGTCCGGTAATACCATCACCAATAGCTCGTCCTACACCAAAAGTGAGCACCTCTTCTGGCTCGGGAGTAAATGCTTCGGTGAAAAAGGAAGTTGACTTATGGACAGGAGCGGAAGGAGAACAACAGCTTCATACTGCACGAAAGGTTTTTGCCTTTGTTTCAGTGAAGTATTGAATATCTGTAGCTATTTTGCTCTACAAATTTCTTAATAATGTACTGAGACCTTTTTTTTGATTCATCAAGCTAGTATTTAAAAATTTTTCAGCTTTCGGATGGCACGGTGAAAAAGAGCAATGCAGAATTTACGACGAATTTTAACACTGGTACTACAACTCGTGGAGAAAATGGACAATATCAATTTACATTTGATCCTTCCTTACAAGACAATACGCAGAGCTTGGTAATTTATTTATATCAGACTCTAAAGCTGATAAATTGCAATAGAAAATGCATTAAATACTTGTAACCGACAGATGTTGTCAAGAATGTTGTGAAGTATGGAGTTCATTGCTGATTGTGACGTAATGGCAATTTCTCATTTTAATCGTTCGAATTTCATATGTTTTCTAAATAATTTGAAACTTGGAGGTGAAATTTGAATCAGTTCATCAACCTCAAATTCTTTCTTCATTTTTATCTACTATTGGATTTCCAGTTTTTGCAGAAAGGGTCATCAAAAGAAACGTTAGTAGCGAAACATGATGGTGCTGTCGCACTTGAAGCAAACGATGATGAATGTCTGAAGCAAAGACTAGATAAAGTCTCTCATTTATGATCCTTTCTCCAATTAGTGGCAGTAACTCTTTATTTGCGATTCAGAGTCCCTTTTTTAAATTTAAAACTTCCTCATCTTTTATTTAATCTTTGAGAAAAAATATTTTATTGAGTTGTATGGGATCACTTTCGACATTTTTAAGGTAAAAGATTTTTGGCATGGACAGCAACAATTTGCAAATAATTTACTTGGAAATGGTAACGAAAATACAACAATTGCACCACTGGCTGCTGAAAAAAGTGGATCTACTAATGTTGGAGTTTCATCAGTATCACATGGTCCAAATGTTGCGAAAGTAATTGTTTATTATATTTTGAATTATTTGCACCTAACATGAGTACTATTTATAAAATTGGAAATCAAGTATTAATTATGCGTAGTTTGGAAGAACTAAATATTCTAGGTAAGACCACAGCCTCAGGCAAGTGAGCAAGTTGCAAACAGTGCCACAGTAAACTTGAAAGAAGCGAATTCGTCTACTCCGTTTGTTCCGCTGCTTCCACCACCTTCTCCTATTGCATGCTTACCACCAGGTAAATCAAATTCATTAAAAATTTATGGACGATTCTTCGAAGTATATGAGAACTGAAAATATGTATATTTTATAGGTATAGTGTTTCAGGGGCATATATTGGTGTAATTTTCTGCCTATTTGCATTTCAGTTGACCAAAAGAATAATTACAGGAGCTTATCTACAGTCTCTTACGCAAGTTCCACCACCGGCACCATTTCCTCATTATTCAATGGTATTTAGCGAACCATATAACCCTAATTCGTCGACTACTTCTGGTCAGGTGAATAATTTCTCCCACAGAAGAAAGTGCAAGCTAATAACGGTGTTGCGTTATCTTCTATTATTCAAATTTAATATTGTTTTTACAGTTACGATCTTCTCGATGTTACATTCATTGTTACATCAATACAGCATTCACTATTTTGTTGCAGACGCTAATTGGTAATGCCATCCCATCAAATCAAACTCAGACAACACGCTCGCGACCTGGTTCATTTGTCGAGCAGTCGCAGCTCTTCATTCATCCTCCTCCCAATGGTGCAGCAGGGAATAGTATGACTTGGTCGAATGCTAATCCGCAAATTGAGTTACTGGCCGGTATCAACGCCACACCTTCGCTTGCATCGCAGTCCGTCAGTACTGTGCAACGTTTCCAAGTTAGTTCGGTTAGTATTTTCGTTTCATCATTTTTTTAGTTCTATCACTTTTTTTTTTTCGATCTAGCATTCACTCTAACACTGTTCATTAGCTATGTCGAAAATTTATATTACGATATTTTATAGGTCCTGCTCAGTTTTGAATTCATTTGAAATACTTCGAACGTGTGACTCTTTCAAACATTTTTTAATTACCTGTTTTTCTTTTCTAACACTGAGGTGTAAAGCATAGTGCTTTCAGCCTCGGTCTGCTTCCGCATTTGGTCCAGTGCCGTCGGTTTTGAGCAGTAACGCTAAAATCCCACATCTGGGACGACCACCACCTCATCATCAGGTTCCTCCACCACTACACCCTCCACATAATTTCATGGCTCCTCCTCCAGATTTTGTTTCTTTACAAGGCACTAGTTTGGGTGCTGTAGGTAGTCAACGCAGTGGCGAAACTCAGAGTACAATTAATAATCCATTGGCCAGAAATACGAATACTATGGGACAAATTCCGCACTTGCAACAGGTAAAAATGTGCTATATGGATCTTACTGAAACGTGCTTCGCCAATTTTTGTATAAAAATAGTTTTTCGCGTCTTGATTTACGTCAACATTGCCAATTTTGGTATAAAAATAGACATTCTTGTACATTGTATAAATTCTTGATTCCGTTAATATTTCTTGTATAAAAGTTAATATTTCAAGTATATAAAATTTAAAGACAAAAAAACAGTGCTAAATTGAGGTAAAAAATCTTGGTATGAAGCAAAATTTTCCAAAAATGGAGGATCTGTTTTGATTTGCCAGGTTTTTTTCCTTTCTGTAATAACTCTAACTGCATTATTTGATGACTGTTTACTTTTCAGCCTTTAAACTTTTCTCAAGCGTCCCAAACTGGTTACTCTATGTCGGCTGCTGCTACTTTTAATCAGGCACCACAACTTCATGCATTCACAGCTCCACCACCACCAATACGCTATCCGGCTGTTCCACAACTTGCCACTAATGATGCGAATGGCATTATGACAGCTGCTTGGACAAGAGCTCCTGCACTTCCTTTCAAATATACAAATGGTATGTTTTTTTAGAATTTAATATTCTTAATTTTAGATAAGGAGATTTCTTTTTATAACAGATTTTGTCGTACTAGCAAGCACTATACCGTGTCGTAATTTTTCTGGTGAAATTTCTTATTTAGGTGCTGTTCTTCCAGCAAATCGTACTGCGCTGTCACGTTATCAGTCATCGGATCGTTGGACAGTTCCAGTAAGCCTTTCAGTGCAGTATCACGGTGCACAAAATTATCAGGTTTTTCTTGCTTTACTAAATTCCCTAGGCTTGCTCTTGAGTGACTACGGATCATTTAATAAAATTTAAGCATAGCAAATTTAATCATGCAGTTCATCTAATTTCTTCACTAAGTTTGGCATTTCTTTGGTTTTATGCAACTTATTTTAAATAAGGAACATCCCGCAGCTTTCTGAATGAAAAAAATATTGTTTGAGTAAAGTCTGGATAAGCTTGTTTTACTTTTAGCATCAGAATGCTAGTAAAGACGGTAGTGATACAGTTATTCATGGAAATATTGATCGCTTTCAAGGGGCACACGTGAACAGTACTCGTGGCCCGACACCGGAAGAAAGTGTTCGTGCAAGTTCTGTGTCTAGTGTTTCGGCTCCCGGCCCTACAACTGAACCATTGGATAGTTCAAATCGACAAAAAAAAACAGCTAAAGTTTAAATGTTTCCTTCCAAGTAAAAGTTAAAAACAATGAATTTTGAGTATGCTAGGTAACAGTTTCCAGTTTATATACTGTTGTTGCTCCCCTAAAGCGCATTGCTGTTTGGCCATGTTTTCTTTTTTCTGTTACTGCAAAAAGGGGAGCTGGAAACTGAAATCAATTTCTCACAAATGTTTTCTTATTTGGTTACTTTGCATTTATATGTCCATCCTTCTGTCTTTTTCCCACTGAGAATTTCGTCAGCTTATCTACGAAAAATGTTCTTCCGACCATAAAGTGTTAATGTTCGCTGAGAAAGGATTTACTGTCTGTAACCTTTTCAAAGTTTGTTACAAAATTATCAGCAAGATATGTTTTTGACATTTTGCTTTTGAATATTTCGAGAAATTGTAGTTGGAACAGAAAGAGTTTCGGTATAGGGTTACCACTCACCAGGTAATACGTCAATAAAGTTATCAACTGATGGATATTAAATAACTTTCTGAATTCGCACTTTACAGCACTTTTTCATTCTTACCATTTTTTTCATTTATGATTAGTTATGCTATATCGTTAATCGTGCTGTTGCATTGTATGGTTATAATATATTAATCTTTGTAATTCTGAGATATGTTTTCAAATTATCTACAATCATTTATTTGTTCATAATGTTTTCCTACAAATTTTCTTTTTTTTCGCACTTTTTTTACATCGACTTATAAATAGCAGCAGCAACAACAATAGTAGGAAATAGCTAGTATGGTTTTCTACTGTATTTTCTATTTATTTTTCCCATAACGTTTAAGGCTTGTAAATTGGCATTTCGTCACGTAGAAGATACATTCAACGCTTCGTTGAACAAACAGCTCATGATAATAAATCATTAATCGTCAAGGGTATGCTTGTGCGTATGTAGTTTCAGAGAAGTTGTGATATATTGTGAAGTCTTAAAATCGAAAATACCGAAGGTTATTTATATTTGAAAATGTGCAAAATCAGTTTATTTGGCTTTCTTCGAGGATGTATCACGAAATTAGTTGTGCTTATTATTTGCGAACACTGCATAGCTTTATTTATTAGCCATTTACACACCTTGAAATGACATTACAGTTGCTTGTTGGAAGTACAGGAGAAAGAGCCATTATCTAGATCGAACGTTAATCATAATTATTTGTAATAGACATTTTGATAAAATGTATTTCGTTTGACTTGTGGTTTTTTTTTTACCTAATTGTGTTTCGAATCTTTCCTCTTTTCTATTTAAGAATTTCCTGTCAGATGTTGCATGATTTCCTATTCATTATTTTCCTTGCAGTTTATCTGATTTACGGAGTTGTATTTCTGTTTCGTAACTTTCAGAAAAAATTTTTTGCCAATAAGGTGTCGCACGATGCTGTCATTGTCTCTTAATGCTTGTAAATCGGTTCAACCCGTCAATTTATTCTTAGAACTTATTTGAATCAATATATTTTTGCCATCCTTGAATTTCGGTGTTTCAGTTGAACAAGAAGGAACAAAAATTGATATTCATGCAGTATTATTCAGACTGCTTGTTTACCTTCCCTTAAAACCAATAATTTTTACTTACAGTTGTTACCATTTTGTGTTGCTAGGTGTATCATTGCTTTCAGAGTCTTGATGGGTTATTTTACTGTCTATTAACTGCTCTGCAAGAATGTGATTAAGAGAGAGAGAGAGGGGGAAGGGGGTCATTACATGAGCTAGTGGAAAGTGCAGTTTGTTAAATAGTTTTTGAAATAAAATGTTTTCTTGGGAATAAAGCAGTAGGTAATAAGATTAGACATTGCATGTAATTGAATAATATATTGAATGTTTAGTAATTTTGTCATTTCCGTTTGTCTATTAAAGTTATCCGTGGAGAATATTACAGTCAGAACGTTTTAAAAATATTCTAGGTTAGGATTGAAAAAGGTTCTGTTTGTGTTAGCGACAGTGATGTCGGGCATGGAAGCGACATGTTCAAAGAAACTTTGGCAAATCGTTTCCGTGTTAAGATGCCGTAATTCGAGTATTACCCATCTGCACGTATATGGAACAACTGCTGGTCCAAGAGATGAAGTGATGCAGAAAGTTATTGAAGAAGTAAAGGAGAATGATGAAGTTTGTTTTTTGCTTGATATTGCATAAAGCTTTTCATACAAGAGTTAAGTTTGCAGCGGGAAGTTATAAATTAGATTTGCGTGTAAATAATTTGTCTCGAATCTTAGTATGATACAGCGACGAAGCTTGGTAGGGAGAGAGGTACAGTTATAGGGAAAGTAAAAGAGTTGCCTCCCATTGAAGCGATATTATACTGAAATCAGTGCAAACAGAAATTGCTAAAAGTACTGTTAAGAATAGCTTGGTCGTATGCTAGCTGAGGCCTTGCATGATCGGTGAACTTTTAGCTACCAAGCTGTGTTAACTTTTTCAACTTTATGCGATTAATTTAGGTTATGGTTCTGCGCGTGAACTGTTACGTGAATCACAGATCTCACAAGTTGTTTTGCCAAGGCCTATATAATTTGTTGCCACATTCAAAATCTGGAAAAAAGATTGAAAATCTGGAAAGTGTATTTGAGGAGTGCAAGGCGGAACTGCAATATGTGAAGTCGGTCGTTATGGTTATCGTTTTGAATAACTCCGAAATGTTGCTCAACTTTCCACCGAGCTTTCTGCAGGCACTCTTTTCCATTCCTAAAAAGGTACTGCATTTGTTCTTGGATGTTGTCCGAGGAGGTACTTTGTTGCAATGTTACAATGCTCGAAAATCAAAATTAAAGGGGGCGGGTTAGCGGTAGAAATCTCAAATTTCAGATTTGTGGAAGATTTTGGTTCGTTTAATCTGCATTTGCAGTCTATTCTCTGTTGTAAAATCTTAAAGTTATATTCCCTTATTTGTTACAGTTCAATAGTCGCTTATTTAATGCATTTTTACATATTAGTATGGTGGCACAGTTAAGTTGGTGTCGGTTGCTCGACTACCGTGGACAAGGTTTGAAATTACCGAACATATATCGTCACCCGTGCAATTTGCTTTTGAAGCGTTATCGAAAGGTGCCATTTAATTTGACCAATTCTTAGATATGATGTTTTGGTGGTCTAACTTATGCTCTTATGCGAAAGTTTTTTTCAAAGAAAAACATTATAAATATTACGTCAAGTCCGGTAAAACCTGATCAAATGTCTTGATGATAGAAAGAAAATGATTTAACAATTTTTTGTTTTGAATTACCGGGAGTTGTATTTAAATGAATTTTATGAGTAAAATTCTGTAGATGTTATAATATGTATTCGTTGTTAAATTCCTCCGTTAAAGGTGAGGTTCAGGAGGCACTGTCAGCAAGGCTCAATTTTGACAACAATTTTGTTCGATGTATGCTGGATATGGTTTATTCTGTGTGTCGTGACCTGAACCAGTTGTCATACATTGTATGAATTAATTTCTTAAACTGATCATATTCCAAATTTTTGTTTTGGTGAAGTTACGGTAATTTAAAAGTACTTTATAAGCAGAATTTATAGCAGAACTAGCATGATCTCTTTTGTCTTTGCAATGTGTTCTTGACTTCTATTGGATTTTTTAGATCGAAAAACTGTGGGACACAGGAACCAGTGATGAGAATTGGGCGAATAGTGCAGCATCAAATAAACTGAAGACATGCTATACAGCTAGAGGACAAAATAGAACCGATGAGTTGTTCTATCGTAGCGAGAAAAGACCTGTGGTACACTTACACCCTTCATTTTGCAACAGCATATTTTAATGAAGGCATATAAAGAACCTATTCATATTTAATATTTCGTTGCAGGAAGATGGACAAACATTTTGTCTGTCAACAAGTGCGAAGTATTTACTTATCGCAGCTTACTGTGCAAGTTATAATCCTCCTAATAGTGATCGTCGCTTTTTTACTAAGGTAATCATATGGTGAATCACGCTTAATTTTATATATTGTTGTATATTGCCTAGGGATTTGTGATACATTGAAAAAAGAAAGTGTAGTATCGATTATATAAAGCAGCTTTGATAGGTAAATTTGGTGAGATTTACCGCATTGTTGTTAGTGACATCGATTACAATTTCGTGGGAATGCTATGATTTAAGCTGCTGCATTTCATTCTCAGTAAATTTTAGTGTACATTTGACTGAATTTTTTTTTGTGTCCATAACATAGATAAAGTAGATTTTTATTTCCAATATTTTTGCTTGTCTAGTTCTTCTTTTTGTTAAGGAGAATATTAGCAAGGATACCTGGTAACTTGCATATTTGTTAACTAAAGTTTCTTGTTTGGCTTCTGGTAGTTGAATTTGCTGATCGTAAGCTATCCATGTATTAGTCTCTTTCCTATTACATTTTAGTTCTTGAGATCTATTTCCTGTGAATGGAGCGACCATAATTTAAGCTGCTAATATTTGTTTCAAAAAATAAAACCCCCTGGGATGTCTCTCATTTAAGGAATTAGAGGCATTATCTTCCTACCCTTCGGTAAAAATCGCGTTGATAATTTGCAAAAAAGAAACAGCTCTAATTTTCTGTGAATGATTTGAACAAAAAAAGTGCAGAATCATGGGAAACAGAGACGTCGTGTACCGACAACAAAAGGATTGCGGAACAACTTAGAATCAGCTCATGAGACTGGTCCGAAACCGTTCCCGGTGCAAAGATTGCTTTTCATCTATCTTGCTATGCTTGAAAAGCATGACATGAGAAACCACTGCGCTGCTGATATCCATGCACAAGTTTGTTTAATAAACCGCTAAAATTCTATTTTTAAATACTCTTGTTATTATACAGTGATATGGTGTTTAAAAAATAAACTGCATGTTATGATGAAATAGATTCATATTTTGTATTGCAATGCTGCAGAAAGTATAAAATGTAGAACAAAAAAAAAAAAAAAAAAAACATGCAGTTTATTTTTTTTTTTCAAAAAAAAGTGTTTTTAGGTTGCAGAGCTGTGTGCAATGGGTTTTTTGAACCGGGTTTCTGCTGATGGAAATCTTGATACTCCAAAG